ACTTAGTCGTTTATTTATTTGTGCATTTGCTTTAATAGTTAATCGACTTGATTTTTTTTTTACAGAAATGTATATATACATTTTTTATTTTGCAAATTTATTTTGTAGAATATTACTCAAGAACTTTTAGTATGCAGACTCTCGTATAGTATACACAGATTAGGAATATTTCACTTTTTGAATAGGTCACCACATTCGACAAAAAATAAAAAAAGAAACGAGCAATTTTTGATATCTTCTGCGTGCCAATACTCTCGTACACCCTTCTGCGGATATGTGAGACTACTGAAGCTTGTAAATGCAAAGTTTGAAACACAAATATTTTGCCATATGTGATCCTACTATTTGACCGATGTTTCCTAAAGAAGCTATTTGATATAGTTAGATATTTTGCGATTTTTTATATATATGTTGGATTTTGTATATACATATATGACGATAAAAACGTAACAAACGTAATTACCAGTATTTTTATCAAACTCGGTACTCTGTTAAAATAGTGTAAAACGACAGGTCCGATGACATTCGGCGAGCAACGAATATGAACCTTTCTTTTTTGTACAATAAAAATTGCTATTAATTGCTATATATACGAGCTAATAAGAAAACGTAGCGAATAAATGAACAAATACAATTGGGTATTACATAAAGCTTATCTTCAGATAATAAATTATACGCAAACAAAAAACAAAAACTCCAAACTAAGACACGTGCGACCTTTGAGCGCTATTGCTCGATAAATTTGTTATGAATTGTGCAGCCAGGTGCATCCGTTATTATTCAAAGATATCGTAATTGAATTGATATCTGATTTTCAATAATAATATAATAACATTTTACTACTTACCATATCAGAGTCACATGGACTGTTGATCTGGGCCACATCGGAAGAGGTTTTTAAAATTTGTTGTGATAGAGATATTTATTACGCATAAGTTTTGTTTATATTATCTAGAAATTTATTTTTGTTTTGCAATTAATTTAAACGAATAAATAGGAAAACTAGAAGACTTTGAGCGCGCCCAGCGCACACCTACTTCATGCGCGCCTCAAACTCCTTCCTGGCCAGGCTTCTCATGAGCTTACCATTCTGGTTCCTTGGTATCACATCTACGAACTGTACGCCGGAATGGAGCTGTTTGTAGTCCACGACAACACGCTGGGCGACCTGCTCAATGACCTGCTGCTCGGTAAGTGGCGAGCCGGACTTTTTGATGACCAGGGCGCCAGCTGAATCACCATTTCTAATATCCCGCACACCGACTACACAGACATGTAGGACATCGGGCAGCTCGGCGATGATTTGTTCTAGTTCATTGGGCCAATAGTGCTTGGATTTGTACTTGAGCAGATCCTTTTTGCGATCCACGAGGTATAGATTGTTGTCGCTGTCAAAGTAGCCCAGATCGCCGAGATTGATCCAACCATTCTGCAGGGTGGCCTCCGTGTCCACGGGATTGGCCACATAGCCCAGCCATTTGGAGCCAATGTCTATTAGCACCTCGCCGACCTCATTGTGGGCCAGATTGTTGCCATGCTCATCGATAATCCTGATGCGCATGCCCGGAAAGATTCGACCCACTGAGCTCTGCAGGCTGTGATCAATATTGACCGTAATAGCACCCGTTTCGGTGGTCCCGTAAGAGAAGGCCACAATCGATTTCTTCATGAGGCTCTGCGCTCGCTGCAGCACCTGCATCGAGATCCAGCCACCGGTGATGAAGGAAAATCTTATAGAGTCCAAGGACTCTTCTGTGGCCAGCGGATTGGTGAATACCTCATAGGCCTGCCAGGGTGCCAGCACAAGCGTGGTCGCCTTATACTTCTGTATCATGCCAATGAACTTCTCTGCATTGAAGCCTCCATCGAATAATACGCGTGGCACCCCATAGAGTAATCCAATTGCGATGGCTATGAATCCCGTCGCCCAATCGACAGTCGCATGCGTCAACAGCAGATCTGTGCTTTTGCAAAATCTAAGAGGAGTGACATTTCAATTATACTTGACTATGGCATTCGAATCTGGCTTTGCTATCTTACGGGGCTATTTTGGTAACATGCTTGTGGGATAGAGCCACTGCCTTCGGCAGACCCGAGGTGCCCGACGAGCACAAAATGAGGGCCGTCTGATCGCCATTCTTATTTAATGAAGCGGGTCTGTAAGAAGAAGAATAGGTAACGATTAGATTTAGCCAGCCCCCTCGGCTCATCAAAATGCCACTCACTGAAATAAGTGCTCGCCAGCTACGGGCTGCAATAGATCCTCAATAAAGGGCACACCCTCTACTCGACCTGTGAGGGTTATAATTTTGGGCGCCCAATCCTTAGTGACTTCTTTAATGCGCTCATAGTCGGAACCATCACAGAACATGATCTTTGGCTTTGTCACCAGAAAGAGGGTAGCAATGGTGGGGGCATCTCGCGTGGCATTCACCGCATGGAATGGCGTTGCATTGAAGAAACAGGCCACAACCAGGGGCCCCACATAAGTGCTGGAGCTGCCAATGATGCCAACGACATCCTCTTGAGTCAGCTTCTCCCGCCTCAGGTAAAGGGCCAAGCGTGTGCCCCATTGGGAGATTTCCGCATTAGTCACTTTTCTGCCGTCCGAATCATTGATCTAAATCGTGGTAAGCAGCTAATCATATTTGAGCTCCTTCTGTTAAACAAGCTACGTCATTTACCTGGACAACTTGATTGGGCCAATTCCTTAGGGCTGTGTAGAATACTTCACCCACGGAGCAGTCGGGATCAAAGTATGGACGCCTTCTGATGCCACTCCAGGTTTTGGTCTCCGCATCGTAGAGCGTTGGAAACAAAGCTTTAGCTGCCATTTTGTCTGCCTCAATGCAATTCAAATATTGAATATCTTCAGTTCAGCGACTGCCTTTATATATCGTAAGACCCTCATTCATTCCATATCATATCATGCCTAACACATTGATGCTCTACCGATATGAGCCCAGCTGACTTATTGGTTTCGGTTACTGAGTAGATCCGCTAAAGCATATTAAAAAGATTAGCTTTCCACATAGTTTTATCTAAGGGGCTCTTCTTGGCCAATACTTACTCAAATACCTTAAAAGTCAGCTGATATTTGTTTGTACTCGAATTAAATTCTTTCTGGGAATATGCCATTATCTCTTCCCGCTAATTTACTTAACTTATTGTGGCTATCGTCATGCTTTTTATTGCGTCAGTTTTCTATTTGTGAAAATGTAGATTACAAATTTTGACGTATATTCGGTGATTTAATGACCAACTGGATATAGTTCAGCAATCGACTTCGCTTAAAATTTGCTTAAAACGAGAGATTCGCAAAGTATTCGTTGATTTTTACTATATGTTTGCATATAATTTGATTTGTTTTTCATTTTTTATTTGAAGTGTGTGTGCTTAGACAGTGCTTATAAGCTCTATACAATTTTAGCTACAGTCATTTCCGTTTTTAACTAAGTTACAAATACTGTGTAACATTTATTATTACGTTATTATGCTTAAATTAGAAAATTATATGAGCTTAAACAAATCTCTGCCATGTTTAAACAGAGATTGTATCGAAATTTTGAAATTGCCTTTTAATGAACAAAACTAGTGCAGTTGGGTGCTAGCTTTGAGTTTTATTGTTATAGTGTAATGCTGTGTGGTAATTTATGCACGCCTCTCTTTCATGAGTTCCCCTCTCTCCGACACAAAACAATGTTGATGTTGCTCGAATTGCCTCATGCTCCACGTCGAGGGGGGGCTGCGCTGCATGCATACATTAACATCAAATTACGCCCAACAACAAGGGCAATTTTTACAAAAAACTCTTTTGCAGTGCGGCGAATACTATTTTGTAGTACTATATGAAGAGGTCTGACAAGGCGAGCGCTGAAATTGGTATAAAAATAAAAGAATGCAAATTGGACAGAGTTCATAGTTCCTTTGTCTACTTAAAGGCCCCGAACCGCGGCATAGCTTTAAGGACTAAATGCCGCAAGACACAGTTAATTTCAATGAAATTAATGGACTCTCTATTCGCTGGTTTCGGTGGTTTTGATATTGGTTTCGGTCTTGGTTTCAGTTTCGGTTAGCTGACCGCCAGGCAGCTGTTCTCCATGGGATAATTTGCTTTGTCATGCGAAGCAAAAGTCGCACCATATTGACAGTTGATAAAGCACATTATAATTATACATACACGTACACACACACACACACACACACACACACACACACACACACACACACGCACACACAAATGTGCAATACCCACAAAATGTGTGCGTCTACCCCCTTCACAGTAAGCTAATTGTTGTTGATGTTGCTGTTAAGGGTTGGCAGCGCGTGATTTTAAGCTGTTTACTTTTACAATTCAATGTTGTTGCTCATGCTGTAGAATGGTTCTGATTTGTGGTCTGTTTGCCAAGATATCGAACTGATTAACATTCACAAACCTCAATTTTATTGATTAATACATTTTATTTAAACAACAATCTCTTGCAATATTACTACAATTTATTAAATATATTAATAATGATTTATTAAATATCTTCTGCCTTGAAAAATACACATAAACATAAAACATATAATTAAATTAAGCTGCGGCGTCGCTTTCTGGTAACTTATACAGTGGCATTGGGCAAACATCGCACGCCGTATTTACTAGTATTTGCCCCTAACCCATGCGGGGGTCGGCGTCCCTGACCTTAGACAAGAAGCCAAATTTGCGTGCTGGCGTTATCAGCGCGTGTTTTCACGCTTATCACACTTGTTGGAGGCGCCACGTGCTCGATGCTCTCGATGTCGACCTCCGAAACTGTCATAAATCTTGCATACATGCGGAGCGCATGCGCCAAACGTGTTCCAATGCCACAGCGTTTCGCCTGGCCGTTAGAAACATCGCGCCATTCATAAAACCGGGCGATGTTCTTGCCGCGCGAAATACTGCATCCGGGCAGGACGACTGGTCCTGGTCCTGGGACTCGGGCATGGACAAACAGTTTGCGGTGATTCCTAAGACGGAGCGGTTGCAACAACGGCAAAAGATATTTGGTGAACGATAAACTTGAAACTTAGCCAAATGTTGAGCTGTAAGCGAACTCAAGACGTATCAATAGTAGATAAATTATGCATTAGCGAAAACATTTAAGAAATTAGACTATATGCAAAATACTAGTATTTTTAGCAAGCCAGTTGATAAATTCGGGGCAGCTAAGTAAATAATAAGAATTGTTCCGATATAAAAGTTTCCGTTCAAGTGTTGTTAAGTGTGGCAAAGTTAGCCGTGAAAGTTAAGTGCGCTCGTAACTCGGCCAGAATTTGCGGCAGTTGCCGTAACACGTTGCCACAACTGAAAACTTTTTTTGGCCAGCCTCTGTCAGACAGAGAGACAGGCAGACAGCGAGACAGCGGAACAGGCAGCTGAGCAGTTAGCCCTTTAGTTGCAACTGCTGTCAGAAACTGGCGGGCTAACATTTTCCAGTTTTGACAACAAAATTTAGTTAAACAACGCAACGGTGTCGTGCGCGACCGGATACGGAAGTGAACTTGCCGCAACAATTTCGGGCTGAGCTGCTTCTACTGAACACCGACCAACAGCCAGCCAACAGTCGCTTGACGGACACACACGCACACACACACACAACACCACACCGACAACGCATACGTGAGTGTGTGATGTGAATGGTAAGTGCAAGTGCTTTATGCCATGACTAACGGTACAATTTCCACCGGTTTTCACCGGTTTTGCTTTTTGCGCTCTATGAAATATATTTTTTTTTTTGTTACTCAGCCACCTACGAGCTGCAATTTCTAGTTTGTTCCTCCTGTGGCTTTGGTTTGCTTAACAACGCTTGTCAGTGTTGACCAGGTTGTTATTTTTGTTGTCGTTGTCATTTTCGAAGTCGTGGTGGTTGTCGTTGTTGCTTGCCTAAGCCCTGATTGCTGTTTTTATGCGGTTGTCCTACAGATAGAAATTGCAGCCACATTTCTGCGTGTTCAGGCTACAGAAAATGTGAGTTATTGCCAAAAGCCATAAATTGAACAAAATGTTGTGGCCATGTGGGGAGTGCAGCGTGCTTTTCACATTTATAATTAGCAGCTGACTCTTTCGCGTAACTCATAAAGTTGGCCTTACTAGCCATTTTTTTGATCGACAAAGTGTTGCTAAGTCTTTTGATTTGTTTTACAATTATCTTAAATTTTAATTTTTTTAAATTTTACTGCTCAGGGCAATACAAGAATCTGGGTTGATTAAAATAAATTGAAAGGCAAGAGAAAGCAAAAAACGAACATAAATTTAAATACTCAGAATGAGTTTTTCAATTGGTTTATTATTTTTATTTATTTCACATAGCATCAGAACCTATGACAAAAAATATTTTAAGAGAGATGCTCTGCGTTTTCCGAGCATGAGGGTTTATTTGCTACCCACTCCTAATCCTGTTGAAAAAAATACATTTGTGAAGTTGGCGGAAAAGAGATGAATGACAAGACTTAAATAGCATAAGAAAAATAAATAGGCATGTAGAAAGGTACAAAATTATAAGCAAATCAAATTAGGAATGTTGCTGTGAAATTGTATATGTATGTAGATGGAAGCACTTCAGCAACATTAATTAATAAAATCACTGAGCATGCAAAGTAAAACAAATGTCTACACTCAAATTAATTAGAAATCTTAAAATATCAGAAAATTGCCAGAAATTTAAAGATGTCTATGGAAATGTTGTGCTATTTCTTAGACATTTGCATGTGCCGAGTGTCCTTTGTGTGTCCTATGCGTGTGTCGCGTGCTGAGCTTGTTATTTTTGGTCTAATTGTTAGTTTATTGCTGCCTTGTGTGCCGACTAATGGTCCAAAATGAACCTGAATTCGCACAGGCGTCAGCTTCAGGCCCAGTTCTGTTCGGGCCACGCATAAATATGCTGCAGGCCAGAGACCACAGGGCTACGACTTACACTCCCCCGGCACGGCTTTCCAGAAATGGAAATGGTCGAGTGAATGGGCCGAATGGTCTGCGTGTCGCATCTATAATTAAGTGAATATACTTGTATATAGAGCATGCCCAGCGCTGTTGGGTCTGGACATAAGGAGATATTTTATGCTGGCACTTGCTGAAATATGCACACAGCAAATATTTTGGAAGCGCCATGCTGGTTGTCTTGGGTGTGGTCGCAATGCCAAAGGAAATTTTCCATTGGCAATTTTATGTCCTGCACTGAAACTGATATGAATTACATCCGAAGACCTCCTCGTACTATGTTGAACTATGTAATTACAGAAGTTGAGTTAAGTGCATATCTCTCAAGTGTTAGTCAAGTGCTGAAATATTTCTCGATATGATCTTATAGTCCTTATTCTTTAGGTTGCCAATAAGCGTTTACGAGTGTGAATTTGTTTTTAATGCTCTCTAGAAAGTTAACTTCCTTGGATTCACATTAAAAAGACTATGAAAGAACTTGTGCTTTCCACTATGTAAACGCGGGGAAGTAAATGAACAACATTAACGAATTGTGTTACAAAGTAAAAGCAAGATTTCCCAATAAAATAAAAGCTTTCAAGTTTCATCTCATACTTTCGATTAGTGAGCACATTTAACAAAAATTATTGTTCAAATATTCAAAAGTAATGTATGTATCTAAATTGAAATAAAAGAAAAGTGTCTAATGATAATAAGTTAATTGCTGGACACTTAACTGTGGACATATTACATCTAAGTCGATTCAGTTTGAATTATGGCTGCTGCCAAATGTGTTTGTCGAAAATGTAGTTATTAATGTGTCGAAAACAATTTTTTAACGAGTTCGAGGTATCTTGGCAGAACTAAGCACTAACACAACACATCACATCAACATATTAAATGACATGGCATTTAAGATTGGGCAAAACAAACACCTACTACACACTCGCACACACACTAGCCAGCATTTTAGCTTAGCTAAACGCCTTAAGGTATGCTTTTGTATTTATGCTGCTACCATGACTAATTAGGAGTTGAGTCTAAGCGTGCTCGTGCAGGATCTATTAGTGCTCATCCGACTGACTAAAATAGTTGCATAAGCATGCACTCACATACACAGCATACACAGGCTTGCTAATAGAGCACATACACACACCTACGTATACACCCACGCTCTTAATACAACAATAAATTAGACTAAAACATCCTTAGCATATGTTTCTGCTGCGATTTGTTGTCGTGGGTAATTGCCAGACTCTGTCAGCCTCTTTGCTATTCGCTCGCACTACATGCACATGGATATATGGCCGTCTCGCGTTATGTACTTGATATCCGCAGACCAAATAAAATAATTAATATACTTGCCTTGAACACAATTTCAACTTTAATACATTTTGCAGCTACTTGCGGGCTATAAGTATATAATTTATTAGCCAACCGCTACCCTCTTCCCCAGCCAGTTCTGCAGTCGTAGTCTGATGGCAATTTATGTAACTCTTAAAGCAGATGCAGTAGTTCATAATATGGCAAAAATCATGGTGCATTTCTGGGGTCAATGATTTAATAATGTGTTGCAAGCCAGCTGACTCTTGATAAATATGGGCTTAAGTGATAATTATGAGGAGATGAGCGCAAACAGAGCACATGATGAGGTCGTTAAAATACTTTATGGCCAAATCGTTAGAAGCACAATTTCTTGTAGAAAAATATCTGTATATGAGAATATTAATGGAAGATGGATAGACAAGCTCCAATAAATGTAAGCCAATCTGTCTAAAAGTAAAAGTAAAAGTTAAATTAAAAGCAAAAGTAAAAGTAAACAGCTCGCTTTCTCCTATAATATATAAAAGAAAAATTATGGATAAAATTATATTTTAAATAAGATATAAGATATATATTAAAAATAAAGATATATAAGCAACAACAGGTACTCTGGTCGGGTGTGCGGTGGAGATACATCTTTCTACAAAAAACGCAAGCAATCGATAATTGGCAGAGAATATTGATCTACACTGGCCATAGAATTGATGAAGTTATTAAATTTACTTATGTTTATTAATATATGCATATTCGCATATTCATTCACACATTCGTACTACTTAGTACATAATAATAGTGCTTGCTTAAGATTTAATCCAAATTATGTACTCTTTTTGAAATTTTGTTTCGCTCTTTAATGATTGCAGAAATGCAACTTGCAATTTAAAAAAATATTACCTCCACTACATTCAAACTCCCGTCGACACCAAACGAGGCAACTAATTGCCATCGCCTCATACCACACTGACATTTACATTTTTACGGAAAAAAGCTTAAATAGCAGCAAATACGCACAGCACAGTAAAAAAGAATGCAAGTATGTGAATATATGTATATGTATGTACAAAATGTCTACACCTGACACCAACTGCCACGTGGCTTGTCAATATGAGCACACGTTTGCCATACTAACTTCATTGTTTTCAAAACGATCTTGACACAACTGCAGTAGATCTTATTGTGCCATAAAGGCAACATTCCTAAAATTACGACTGCAGCTTTAATAGGAATTTTTGATTTGATTATAGAAAATTACTTCATCATTACTACACGAAAAGCCACCTTCGACTCTAGCTTTAAAGTAATTAAATAATTTAAATAAATTGAATAGCTTAAAGCCTAAATACTGCAATTCATCACTGCGAGATCTAATAAATCCTGGGCAAAAAATGATTATCAAGCATTTTTATTGCCTACTAATTGTAATGCAAACATCATAAATCATAGAAATAATGTAGGCATTTAGTTTTGTGACATTTTCTGCTCAAAGTATTTCGGCCAATTCGTGTTGTCTAATGCCAGAGAGCTTAACGTGTCCCCAGTTTTAGGCACACTATGACTATGTACCCAATACTAAATCTTACTCTAGTAGCATAGCCATGTGATAAATACCTCAACTAAAAATGAAACGAAAAAGTAATAAAGCATAAAACGCTTGCAAAGGGAAATAAAGCTGCGATAAATTCACAACAATAGCCGAGAGGCTTTTGGCAAGAGCCGCAAGCATGAAAAAATAACAACAGGAAAATAGTTCAAAAAATCAAGAAAAATACAAATGAAGGCATGAAAGTTATGGACAGCAATATATTTGGTCTGGGACTGTGGGATTGTTGCTGCCTAGACGCTGACACCAGGCGGCAGCTTAAATAAATAAAATAAATCAAAAATGTAAATCAACACTCAACACACACATATAACTCTATATGTATCTATGGCCAGGACAATAATTTGCGCGCACAAACACAACAGCACACAGAGCCACACACACACACACACACACACACACACACACACACAAATTTGGCGAATATATGTATTTCTCACTCCTTCAAGACCTCTCATTAAATTTGTCTGTGCTCGTTGACTTTGTTATTTCTAGTGGTTAGTTATTTGGTTTTGTGCGTAATATGAAATCACGACAAAGCATTCATTCAAGTGTTTTGGATATCTGGCATAGCAAATATTAAATTATGCCCGCCGCCACACAAAAGGTTCTAACGAAGCATTTATTTTATTTCTGTCCATCCTCACATGTGTATCTATATGTTTTATTGGCCTCTCCCTGGGGTACAAACAATAATTCATCAATATTAAATGCATGACTCTTGAAAACCAAAATTAATTGTATCATAGAAATGTGCGCAGACAGAAGTTCACTGGCAGAAACAATAGCTCAACTAATACTGCCTAAGATGGGAGCTTTTGACTAGAGGATACTCTGTATGCAAGTCGAAAAAATACCTGATGCAAAATGCATGTATGCAAAAAACTATCAAATATATCCTTTAGAGCTAGATTAAGATTCTTTGATTCCCATGATTCATAATATGGATGTCTGTTACATTACAAACAAACAACTATAAGGTACGATCCATGTAGTCAATAATGAATTCATAGCCTGTCATCAACCATAGGATTTAAGTAAACTTAATCAAATTATGAATTTTAGGTGTCGCCGCAGAATGCACGATTCCAAAATAGCCTGTATATCACTTCCATGGCTACAGGGTATGAAAAGACAATATTTATTGATTTGAACTGGCATTTGTCCTGTCTTGTTTTTTTATTTTTATTTTGACAGCCCCAGGCAATTTGTGCAGTATTAAATAGTTCCCTGTTGTCAGCTGGCTATATTCATTGCATTCTAAAATCAGCAAGCTTCAGTCTTTTACCTCAAACGTTCTTTAGAGAAATGTTATAGCCACAAGCAAGTCATTCACTGCCTGTAATTAAGGCTAGATGCACCAAAGGGCACTATGTATTGTATACATTCATATATATTTATATATATATATATATATATATATAGATGTACGTATTCATTAAAGAATGGTTCGCTTTCAGGCGCTGTATACATCGGCCCTGCAGGCATTTCAATTAGGACGCATTCGTTGAGCAACTTCATTTCCTTTGGCCGGCAACACGCCGGGCAGGGATACGGCAAGGACAACGAGAATCTGTAGTGCCTTTGACTGAATGGTTGAGGATGCTCTTTTTAAAGGGCACAACTCCAACACTTGATGTAATTCTGTTCATTTTCAGTTTTGGACCTGCGAATGTCCCGGCCGTGCGTCCTATCGCAGTCGCAGACACCTCTTCATTCATTTGACAAAATTGAGGGGGGGGGGGGTGTAAAAACGTGCAGCCTTTGTCCATGTCCTGCCCACCTGGTTACCTGTCCTCTCGTGTTCCGGCAAGTGGACAGTTGCCTGCGTTGGCATTTATATTTTCTTTTTTTTTTTTGCGCGATTCCCTTTTTTACAGCTGTTTATAATTCCGGCTGAAATCTACTTCATTTCATCAGCGTCTTCACGGCATCTTGCATTTTTGAAATGAATTCAGCTTCTACCACTTTTTCTTCATTTATTTTTTGGCGTCATCTTTAATTCCATTTCGTTTTCGCATTGCCCAAGCTCAATGCCCGATGCCATCTGTCCTGCTGGCTCCGTGCTGCGACCTCTGTCGGTTGCTGGACATTCAATTTGACGCCACATTTATTCACCTTTTTTTGGTTTGCTCTTTTTTAAACAGTTCTCACTTTTTCTCGCACTTTAATTACTTTGTTACACGCTCTACTGGGCCTTACCCTATGCGTATACTTAATCTATGTTCGTATAGTCTAGGTATATCGCGTATACGCAATATGTATTTAACTTTTGGTAATGTGTTAATGTTGCATGTCCCTTGGGTGCAAGCATCAGCATAATCTAGCCCTAAGTTAGGTCGAAACTTTGGCCAGCATTTCTGCAACTTGTCCGTTGATATCTCTGGGGCAATTAATACTCGCACTTGTGCGGCTGTTTTAGCAGCCCGTTGAACCAGAAAGAAAAGAATACGCAAATCGCAAGTGAATTTCCCAGTTGGACGAAGTTCGACCTGCACACTAGTTGACCACACTTAAAATTTTCGAAATGACAATTCCCCCAGGGCTTCACACAATTATACATCATTCAAAACAGCACGACCCTCGTTTATTCCCAGAACAAAATGTCACGCTTTCCGCCTTTTGTTGGCTTCTAAATGCTTTCCTTTCCTTCCTTCTGCTCCTCGGGCTCCTTGCTGCTTTTGTGTGCAGCTTCCGTTGGGTGGTCCTCATTGTTTTGACTTCCGCTTGGTGGTCGAGTGCCTGTGTGATGCGCTGTTGATGATGCCCATGTCCCGCAGCCCGCGTACCAGGTCCCGTGTGACGCTTCAGCGGCGAACAATAATAAACGCCTAGCTCGACTGCATCTTGTTTGTTTGCGTGCTATTCATAGATCTCTATCTGGATCTGTGTCAGCATATAGATTTAGTGCTCCATTACAGTGGACATCTGGGAGCCCGCTAACCGACCGTCCAGCCGTCCAACCGTCCAATCGTCCAACTAACCAACCGTCAAACACCACGACTGGCACTTTATTTGCTTAGCGCACTAGTTAAATTGGGCAGACAAATGTTTAAGTACCCCTAACCCTAACCCTACCCCACACACACACACACACCCACCTCACATACAGAACTAGTGCCAGTTTTATTGGTTGCTTTTGGTTTTTTTTAGTTTCTGTCGCTTTTACGCTTCGTCTAACTTTTCGTCCATTGGCTTTAGTCAGTTGTAATTTTTTTTGGGGCTTCCGGTCCGTTGAGGCTTTCCGACTGGCCTGTGCTGATCCCACCAGCCCAAGGACTTTGCAATTGGAGGTCACTCTTTTGAAACGCTTGTTTGTCCAATAAACATTTAGCTAACTTGTTAACTGAGAAAAATTATCGCTTAAAAGAAAATTTGAGTAAGAAATTTATTTAAACTCACGCATGTTTAATGTGTTTAGTTCTTGGCAGCAAAATAACAGCTGTACTTGATAGTTGGGGCTTGGGGATAAAATATTTAAAAAGTTAATCGAAAGTTGTGTTAACATGGAATCTTTAAATATTTAATATTCATTAAACTTAATTATTATATATTTATTTAGTTACTTATAACTCAGCGAATTTGTGGCTTGGACTTTTGCACTAAGCAAATTTTAAAAATGATTTCACAGCCACCATACTTTTTGGATTTTCACAAATTAGAATAGTTTTTAGGATTTAAAGGCACCTTGCAAGATAATCTCTCATTAAAACTTGAATTATTGGTAGTTGAATGAATTAACCTTCCCTATATTTTTTTTAGAGCTCAGAGATTGTATAACATTTGAAACAAATTTTGAAGCTGTTGAGCGTACACATTTTTCCAACTGTTTACAAAGATTTATAACTGAATTTTAAATTTAAGAATCAATAAAAAGTTTAATTACATTGTTGACAGCGTATTGTGTAGTCGGCTATAGTCGACTTGCTTGTGATATTTGCAATTTGATTGTTTGTTGTGTACATTTGGGGTAAATGTTAAATATTTAAGCACATGCATAACAAAATATTTTGGCAATACCCGATGTGTGTGTGTGTGTGTGTATCCATGTGTGTTTATGACTGTGTGTGGGCAGACAGAACTAATTTTTTGGTACCATAATTCATGTTGGCTGCTCTGAATGTGCCTCAGACACATTTCAAGGCGATTTTCCGGTTTGGCTGTTTGTTATTTGCAGTTTGTGAAACTTTTTAGCCTGCAACAAATGCCGCCATTTGCATTTCTCCCATTTGCACTTGTGCAGTGTGCCTGGAAAGAAAGAGAGATTGTGAGAGTAAACAGAGATTTCTATTACAAGTATGAGCAACTATTTGGCACACTGCTTACATTATTTCGCTGCTATTTTATTTGTACATTTTCTATTTGAATGCAACAAAAAATTGGCAAACGAAGTTGTCGACAGGCATCTAAGTGAATTTGTTTGTTGTCCAAGCTGCCAAGAGATAGAAAGAAATGAAAATATATATATGCAGAGAAAAAAAAGAGAGAGTGAGCCAGACGCTGACCATGCACTTGGCAAAGAACCAAGACCAGCAGGGGCAGAGCTGAGCAGCACCAGCACCAGCAGCAGCCAAAGACCTCGATGTGGACTTTCATTTGCTCTCTTTGAGTTGGGATTTGGGATTCGCATTGATTGCTACATAGCCTATTATCCTTAAGTGCTTATCATAATTTGTGTAGCGCTCTCTTTCCGGCTTCTTGGGGCACAGCAAACACCGTCGAGACCCTCAAATAATTCATTTTCCAGCGACTCGTATGCATAAGTCGCCTTAGCGACTATTCCCTCAGGTCGTACATGGGGAAATGGATTTCCTAGCGCCGACATTGACGCAGCCGGAACGTGCGAGCATTAGTTCAAAGTAGTGCCAAGAAGGATGTGAATGCCAGGCAAAAAAGAAAAAGATTGTGAAATATCCCATATGCATACTTGATGCGATGGCACATTTTTATTAAGTTTCATTTACAAATGCTTTAAGTTTTATTCGCTGACGTTCACATGGATTCAACTTTGAAAAGTTTATAGAAAAAACTGGTCATCCTGTGTGGAGCCAGCCTGATTTTCCGACTTATTATTATACCCTACAACAATACTGAACCAATTATGTTTGTCTACTAGATAACAATGACAATTAAACTAATAAAAATAAAAATAATAAATGGAGCATACCGTAATGTGGCCCTACAATATATGATGGCCCAGCATTAGAATTTGTTAACATAATTAAAACTAGTAATAATTGATAATATAGTTATGTATATGTATTTTTTATAGCTCTGATGGGCGGATGCATATCATTCTCATATTTAAGAGATAAGCTGTTGCAGAGATATTTTTCGAGCTAATCTTAAGAGCTGCTAACACATTATTATGAAATTACAGGGTATTTGCTAGTCATTGGCAACCATTTGTTCTGTAAGCCTTTTACAAATGTTTTATTGCCGCTGATTGGAAGATTTAATTACCGCCAGAGGAAATGATTTATTGATTGAAGTTGTGCAGTGGCATTTGAAAAAAATGCACGAATATAAAAAATTGTTTTTAAAAATGCATAACAAATATTCTTTTTATATGTTATAATTTGACTTATGAATATTTAAAAAAAAAATACATATTTTTATACGAAGCATAATTTTACATCAACTAAATGCAATTATTATTTATATTTGATTTCCATGGGCAGGCAAAAACGTTGTAATCAAATCGTTTGATGTGCGAGTACGTGGAACTTAAGGAATATGATATACTATGTTTTAGTAAATATATTATTTGAAATATCTCGGCAGTTCGTATGTATTTATGATACGCGCACTAAATTAAACATACACAAAGTGTGCATTCAACTTTGTTTAAAAATCAATTCAAATCTTCAGCTTGTTGGTCTTGGGCTCTTATTCAAGCACTTAAATATGCAAAGACTTTCAAAGACACGACAACAAAATATTTGTATGGCTAGGTCAAGGGTTAGGGGTAGTCTTGCTTATATTTTGTTTACTGCTTCTGCCATAAGTGCTTTTTAAGCTGACTAAATAATCGATGATACTCTTTATGTCAGTCTGCAAGTTTTGAAACATTTTTGTTGATTGCGAAATTTGTTGTTGCCAACAAGCACAAATCACAAACATGGTCGAGACAACGGCGCCCAAGAACCCAACAAAGTTTGCGGCGGCGAAAGGGGAGGGCAGCAATGCATACAGCTGTATTGACATGATAAACAAAATTGAATATTCCTCTTACAGAGCACTAACAGTATGAATACTTTGATAAAGAATATGTATGATAAAGTTGTAAAATTAAGGCATTTAGGCACTAAATGATAATAACAATGCAAGCTTTTGCTGGGTGCTCTAATCCTTCCATAGTCAAATTCAAAGTTTAGCAATTTGGCACAAGTCCCCCACGTTTTTAGTTCCCATAGACTCTTGGCGTCCCTCCCGTTGATGTTGTTGCTCTTTGGCGCAGTCCAAAAATAAAACCGGCTCTACTGCGGGCGGTCAGCCACATAAAGCGCATAAAATTAAATAAAAATCGTATAAAAAATCCTTTCAAGCACGCAACGCTTCTCGGCAACTTTCCCCATGCTTTCGCTTCTCTGAGTCACTTTTGGGACTTTCGTCGATGCAGCAGCTCAATAAAAATAAAAAAGTTGAGTAAAAAAAAAAACCGCAAATATGCTCAAGATTTTGCAGACCACGCGTTGCGGCCAATACTTCACTCTTCTCTTGTTTTCCATCTTTTTGCTGACCCTTTCACTGCTTCACCTCCCCCCGTTTGTCATGAGCAATGCCGTGTTTTTGTTGTTTACGTTGTTTTCAAGCTTTGTCTGCCTTAGTTTAACTTTGGAATATTATCGTTCGTAACCTTTTTTGTGAGCATGACAGACGTAAAGCGGATTATACTTAAAGGATTTCGTTTTACTTATTATTTATTTATTTATATTTTTTTTTGGTTTGTAGCCGAATCAATTTATGAAATTGCTTAAAATACAAAGCTTTATAAGATTTTTACGCTTTTTTTCTATAAATAGAAATATGTATTTATTATTTAATAGCTTTTAAGTAATTATTGAAACATATTTATTATTACTTTTGCTTGTTTTTTACTTTTCTACACGAAAAACGCATTTGCCTTGAAATTTTTAGAACCTGAACTACTTTCTATGATTTTGTTTTTGTTGTTCTTACCTAGCCTATCCGCAAATTCCATTAGTCTGCAAATTCTTGATAAAGTTGGTGGCGGATTTGTCGGTTTTATTTAGACTTTATTTTCTTAGTTTCTCAGCTAACTGTTTAATGCAGCTTTGTATCCATTTTTTATGAGGTGAGGAGAAGAAGATGGAGAGCTAAAAATTCGCTCTCTATGCTCCTCTTGTGCCGCTTTTTAGGCCCGTTCACTGTCGAAAAATTGATTTATTTTCCATGTTTTTACTGTTGCGTCTAGCTTTGGCGCTGCTTACATATATATTTTTTGCATATGCTTCAGATTTGTTTGCTTAGTCTTTAAAGTTTTCACAACCCTTAACTCAGTGAACTTAAAATCTACATTGCAAGCGGCTTATGAAAATGTCCTCAAAGGACTTTCGACATGTTCAATAGCCGCACAAAATGCGCATCTGCTTTTAACTACTCTCGAGGACGCGACACCAAAAAAAAAAAAATTGATTTCTTGCTAACAGGGCGGCTGCGCAATATTTGCGCATTTATCTTCATTTTCGCATTGTTTTCTTATTTGTTCGGCAAGCTTTTATGTTGCCCTTTTTTTACGCGTTTTCCGTTAATGTGCATTGCGGTTGTTTACGATTCCATGCCACCTTTTTCCACCCATCCCCCTGTTTGGCCAAAAGCCGCTGATCTGATTTCCGTTTCCGTTCACACGTACACAGAACACACACACATATACGCACAGCACCCCCAGTGTTAAATGTCTCCCGCTGTCTTTGCAGAGTGTCGCCTGCTCAACACAGAATATTGTAGTTTATATTTCGTAGCACACTTTATTATGTACTCGACCAAGGGATACTCTAGAGTCTAAGCGGCAAGTGAAGAGATGAATACATTCCTAAAAGTTCAATTTTAACTAGCCCTTTGTTCAATTATAACTATTTAAATAACATATATATTATTCAATATTATATGCAAATTTTTTCACACCATTCTTAGGCTCAACCATCAATCTGTTACCCATATACCCTATTTGCTTTTGTTATATCTATATTTTCTTATCTCATTTTTTCTCATTTTGTGTTACACGTGTGTGAACCATTTAAATGGGAGTATAAAGCATAAAGCGTATACCAAGCCAGAGGTTTTAGGCACTTATTTTCAATTTAAGAAATGCAAATACACATAAGCATATTATGCTGATGAGCAGCAGCTTAGTATTGCCAAATACATGCTCATAAATGTGTGTGTGTGTGTGTATACAATTTAATTTCCTGCTCATATTGAATTTTCTGTATCTTTATATTTTATTTAATAAATGCTAAGCT